TTTCCTCAATTTATTGTTTTCAAGTATAAATGTTAGTAATTAGGGTGTGTATGGCAAGACATAAAATCAACAAATAGGTAACCATAATCAAGACAAAATGCATGTAAATCAAACACACTTACACACTAGCACCTTTAGGGTAATCCCGCTCTGTTGCCTTTCGGAAAATAGTCATGTCCCTCGAATATGGGTGTTTTAGCAAAGACCCTCGATAAAAGATCGTAGTCCCTCGATGACCCTCAATGTTGCCTTCGGTAAATGATCTAGTCCCTAAATGATATCTCTAAAACGTCCCATAGGTTGCCTTCTATGACTATACAAACGTCTCGTTCCCGTCCCTTCACATCCAACGATGGGGCTTCTTACCAAATCAATAGTAAGATAGCAACATCTAAAGGAGGAGGAAAAGGACATTAGACCTTTTGAGTAGGTAGGTTACTTTTAGTTGTTCGCTTACTCACAACAAAAATATTTAAACATTAACACTTCACTTTGAAACATTTTTTAAAAGACAAAACACTTTGTACGCGTTCTTATATAGACGAGAACCATTACAAAGACATTCTTTTTTCAAAATACTTTCAAAACCCACATTTCAAACACATTTTCAAACAAAAGCAAGTGATCTAGCAAGCAACTAAGAGCCCGTAGATATCTACGGATGAAAAGGGTGCTAATACCTTTCCTTTTCATAACCTACCCCCCGAACTCAAGAAAATATCTTGAAAGGTATTTCCTGTTCTTTTCAGCCTTTCCTTTTGGATAAAAGAAAAGTCGGTGAAGACTCTTGCTATCCGCACAATTGCGATCAAACGCAAAACAACCAAGTCAGTTCTCCCACCGTGTTACAATCTATAATCAGTTGTTCACAAATAGTTGTCTTGTCTTGTTTCAGGTATTAATCTGGAACTTATTGAAAATTCACGATGATATTTGTTTGTTTATCTTTCTTGAAAAGGTAAAGGTTTTAGTTGTACCTAATGTCATGATGCATGATGTTCTCAAAATAAATGAGATTGTGCTATATATTTTGTATTCATATGCTATGATGTTTGTAAAATAATGTATGAATGCAATATATAAACTGATCAGTTATTCTTTGTAGCATTGTTGAATTGAGGGAAAATAAATCCCTGACTACTGTTGGGGATGAAGAATGTGTTTCTTCATTATTTGTTGAAGTTGAATTGTTGGGAGATGGATTCCCGTGGCTAGAGAAGTAAAACTCTACTGGGGAAAGAAAACTCTGTAAACTGCTTGGGGATTTTTATGAAGCCCTGTTGGGGGAACCCAAGAAGTTTATGAACCATGTTGTGGTATTCTTCAAGATGCTGGGGAGATGATTGGAGACTCTTCCTTTGCGGAGGATGTCGGAACCTCTGACATTAATAGGTTGTATGCTGAGGAGATGGCTGTGACTTTGCAGGAGGACGTCTCTATCTCTCTATCTATTGTGGGATGTATCTGCGGGGATTTGCAGATGGCTTTTTAGACATTGTCCCATTTCTTAAAGCCATTAGTAACTATCTTTTTGTTTTTATGCGTGTATTCATAAACGGTGATTATATTTAAATGCATATGTTAAGAATAAACACTGGACTTTTTTTTTGCAAAACAAAAATAGGAAAATAAAACAAATAGTTTATGCACTTTCAAAGAGGTAATTTTTGTATTAATCTGAAGAAGTCTTCCCATAACAGGCGTTTTTGTACAAGGAGACATACATCCTAGTAAGAGAATGCCATCATAAAAATGAAAACTATACAAAGCAGTATACAAAGGAAAAACAACTATGTGAAAAGATCCCATTGGATTCCCATTCTGATATTGCCTTTATATCTTTGAGCGTCTCATCACTTTGCTGCTTGACCGAAGTTGACTAGATTGATTAGTACCATTTGAATTTAACACTTGATACTGAAGTCTGTCTGTGAGGTGATCCAACGGGACATAGTTGTACGCTTTTAATCCCTAACTTTTTCCTGGACCGCCCTTTCGGGTTTTCCGTCCACCGGGATACCCTTTTTTTCCCAAGCCACTTTTTCAGGTTTTCGACTTGCCGGGTGTACAAATTTTTTCATATATGTATCCCTAACTTTTTCCCGAACCCTTTTGGTTCGTCGGGATGCCCTTATTTTTCCCAGGCCACTCAACCTAGCGGGTCTCTGCTTGTGTGTAGTATCTTTTAACTATATCCGTGTTTACAGGATGCGAAAGGTCGTCACCGTCCATAGTGGTTAATATCATGGCTCCACCAGAAAATATGTTCTTGACTGTAAGTGGTCCTTCGTATGTGGGAGTCCATTTTCCCCTGGGATCACTTTGTGGCAGGATAATGCGCTTGATTACTAGGTCGCCAACTTGATATTCCTGGCGTCTGACCTTTTTGTTAAAAGCTTTGATCATACGTTTCTGGTACATCTGACTATGACAGACAACCGTGAGCCTTTTCTCGTCAATCAGGTTTAATTGGTGAAGTCGAGTTTGAATCCAATCATCTTCATTCAAACTCGCATCCTTCATGATTCTTAAGGAAGGGATCTAGACTTCGATGGGTAGGACAACTTCCATACCGTATACCAGAGAGAAAGGAGTTGCCCATGTTGACGTGCACACTGAGGTACGGTAACCATGAAGAGCGAATGGTAACATCTCATGCCAGTCTTTGTATGTCACCGTCATCTTCTGTATGATCTTCTTGATGTTTTTATTGGCGGCCTCCATAGCGTCATTCATCTTCGATCGGTAAGAAGAAGAATTATGATGTTGAATCTTGAACTGTGTGCAGAGCTTGGTGATCATGGTATTATTGAGATTGGTACCATTATCTGTGATGATTCTTTCTTGAGTACCATACCAACAGATAAGGTTATGTCTGACGAACCGGGCCACGACGTTCTTGGTAACAGAAGCAAATGAGGCTGCCTCGACCCACTTTGTAAAGTAATCAATGGAAACCAGGATGAAGCGGTGCCCATTAGAAGTGGTAGGTTTAATCTCTCTGATTATATCAATGCCCCACATTAGGAAAGGCCAGGGAGCAGTCAAGACGTTCAAGGGAACCAGAGGCACATGTACTCTATCAGCATAGATCTGACACTTGTGACAAGTTCGGGAATGCTGATAACAACTGTCATACCCCAATTTTTGACCTAAGATCCCATTTTTATTTTTGCATTTTTATGCAGAAGTCAAGGTCACGAAATACTGTCGATTTTAACCTCTCACCTTTGAGCATTGACTATGCAGAAATTGTAAAGTATTTTGAACATTCTTAGCCTATGTATCACTAACTTCTAATCAAGCACGGAGTGTGTATTTTTCGTTTCTTTGATCTCATTTCCAGGAAACAAATATGAATCAAGAGCATCAGGCGTCACGCCTCGATTAGGGTTTGAAATCTCTCAAGCTAGAAGTACAGTTGATCGTTGATTCTTGAAGACTGATTCATCAGGGGAATCGTGTGTTTATTTCCACGATTTGTTCGATAAGTGGTCTTAAGCTTCTCCAAATATCCTCCAAGAATAGTCAATGTTTCATTATCACTGGTTCACACATGTTTCACCAGGCTTTGAAATAAAAGGAAAGATCAAGTTTTCAAGTCGATTCAAAGCACTTTGACCAAAAGTCAACTTTTGCAAGATCAAGTTCAAACGGTTGTAACTTCTTCACTATTCCGTATTTTTGAATGGTTATTTTTGAGTATGACTCTCTTTGATGTTATCTCCAACTCCTCTTTACCAGTCAAGATCTGATTATGTGCGGAGGATCATCAAAAATTCGAATACTTTAAAGGTCATTATGTGAGTTTGACCTAATCACAAGAAACTCTTGTCTAATTTTCGAGGTTCATAACTTCTTCAACTCTCAACATCCTGAGGCAATTATTTTGTGAAGTATCACGAATAGCGTTGTCTATGATATTACTTTGAAGATCAACGTCAAATTGTGATTGGTTCAATTTATGCCACATACATTTTCTCAAAAGACGTTTGATTCTTATGTTGGGATAATTCATGAAACTAGAGTTCTAGTTCAATGATTCAGTAATTGTTTATCGCCTGCCTCAAGTCATTCGCAATTGAACATTAGCGACCATTGGATTAAGGTGGATTATTAGTTAAATCTCTTAAAGGAGCAATTTTTATTATTGGCTCGTATTGTAAGTTACCACAAATTGATGATATGGTTTTGTAAAGAAAAATATTTGAGGAACAATTCGAATAATTCTTTTGGATTTCAAATCGATTTAAGTGTGCGAAGCGCAATTCATTCATATGAAGTTGCTTTTGGATTCAAGATATACAAAAGAACTAATTTCTCATGATGCAAGTTTGCTCAATTTTGAAGATCAAGTCATGTAACTTGTTTGGAATTTTAGGAGCAAATACAAGATATTCATTCATCTACCATTCAAATTTCATTCAAAGTGTATATTGAGAACCCAAACACATTTTTCACATAATTTACACTACTAGGATTATTCAAGACTTGTTTGGATTTAAGTTCCAGGATACATCACCATCATTTTTGTGTTACAAGAGGAATTCCTAATTTCTTATGTCACAAATTTCAAGTACATCATGAGAATTCAAATCCTATGACAAAGACTTTACAAACCATTCAACTTTGATCTTGTATTAAATATTTTGAACCAATTTCTTATCACAAGAATATGTCATGAGTTCATTAAGAGAATTTGCTCAAGTTATCTTTTCATTCAATCTTCAAAAGTCACATAAATTTTGAATCTAAGCTTTGAATAATCCTACTCATGTTTTGCAATATCCATTCAAAGAGTTCAATACAAGATTCAAATCTCATTACAAGATGAAGTGGTTACAAATTATCATGTTATTACATTTTGAAATATAAAGAAATTACATGAAATTTGTCAAAAATCCAAATCTTCAAGCCTAAACATCAAGTTCAATCTTCATGCTCAGCCTTCAAATTGCCATGCCTTGCCTTGCTTCATTATTTCATCATCTAAAACCAATTCATGGCAGCCCTATATCCAAAACACAAAAACAGTTTCAAAACCTTGATTAAAGTTGCAACAAAACCAGTCAAAACTATCACAAAACAGTCCAAAATCAGTTCAGTACAAAGCATACCAAGCCTAGCCAAGACCAGCCTATAATTACTGCTATACTGCTATCAAAACAGTCTGCTATGCTAACAAAAACTTGCTATCTTGCTTCCCACAAAACCGTGCTATACCAATCCAAATGCTACATTCCAAAAAAAAAACTGCTAAGCCTGTCATAACAGTTCACACCAGTCAAAAAATACCTGCTATTACTGCCATGCTCAAGTTTGTCCGTAAAGCCTGCAAAGTCCTGATACAAAAACAATCCAAGAGACCTGCTCTTAAAGCATCCCTATGCTGCCCACAACAATCAAAACAAGCTGCTACAAACCTGTCATTACAATCCAAGACCTATTGCTGCCCTTGCTACATTGTCCTTATCCTTTCTATACAAAACTTGCCAAAAATGAAACCACAAATACCTGCACCGAAAAGCAAGAAAATAGTTACAATAAAACCAACTCCCCCCCCCCCCCCCCCCAAAATATGATCATTTTTTACTATAAAGATAAGATATCATTCAACAAAAAAGGGAGAAAAGAAACCAGTATGGAGAGTTATAAGGGATTTTTTTTTCATACAGAAAACCAAAAATCATCTAATTTGCAGCCTCATATACACCCTGTAACTATACCACAAAACAAATATATACCTTCAACAATAACAGTAGTTACTAAATTTTTTTTGCACAAACATCATCTTCCTCCAATTTCAAACCAACATGCAACAATACAGTAAAAAAAATGCACATAAGAAAAAGAGGAAAAGATGTTTCATACCTCCAAAAACTTCGCTGCTGAAATCCTCAAGGCCGGGACACCCCTCACGCCTCTGTTCAAACAACGCTGGAGCATGCTTGGTTTCCTGTAATTCGAAAACAAGAACAACAGTCTTTTCTGCTGGATCTTCGATCTGCATGCTACCAAAATTCTTAGGAACTACATTTTCATACATTAATTTCCTTCTCATTCAGGCTATTGATGGGAGTCCATCTGCAGTGAGGGTCGGGTCCTCTTACGGTAGAAGTCAACAACATTGATAATCTTTCTTTTGACTCTGTTGATGAGTCGAGCGAGCTGATTTATGATGACCCGGAAGTCATCTTCATCCATTCGCATTCTTTAGTTGGTCCTTCTAAGTGTGTTAACTAGTCACTCAAACTCAGTAAGCTCACCATATATAAGTCTGACTCGGACAGTTCATTAGAACTAGTGGAGAGTGTTACTGAAGAGACCATTGAAGGCGTCAAAGAGGTTATTAACGAGGAATCTTTGAATGATGAAGATAGGATCCTCGTGGAGATCCAGAGAGTTAGAATTGAAGATTTTTAGGTTTTAAAGGTTATGAAGGTTATACAAAAGGCTAAGATTACAGAAAAAACCATGCCGGATAACATACTTGAACAATCTTCGGAGAGAATCACCTCACTTACATGCTTGATATTGAACCGAAACTGCGAGAAACGCGCCGAGATTTGCCTGCCACCGTGAAATCAAAACCGGCGAGTTGTTGTTATACCAAAATGGAATCGAACAGAACATAGAGATAAACGAGGAAGAGATTGAAGTGCGGTGAAAGATTCAGAGGACATTGAAGAAGCTGCAGCGCGAGAGGAAGAAGAGAGAAGCGTTTCAAAAGCTGAGGTATTACAACCTGTAACCCTAATCTTTCTCACGTGTCAATTTTCTTCTTATTTTTTTGTTTCGTTTTTATTTAATCATTCTTAGGTTTATTTTAATTGAAATAAGTATGCTGAAAATTGATGATTGGGTTTTGGGACCGAATAGTTCCATTAGGCCTATGCCATTTTATTTTTTTTAAACATCCTAAAGTTTAATGTAACAAAAAAACACTTCTGGATTCATTCGGGATCGGGCCTTAGATTCTCACTATTACCTCTCTACACTCCTGACCCAATTTTGCCCCTATAATCTAATCTTGTACCCTTTTTTCTTTCAATTTTAGTGTTTAAGTTAAGAGTTGATGAATTCTTTTATTATCTTAGTTAAGTTTTCTTAATAACTTTAGGTAATTAGATAATTCCAAATTAACTAGTTTAGCTTTTAAAATAAATTTAGTAAAAACTTGTGATTTTAATAGTATTTTAGCTTAATTAATTTTTTTAATTATTTCATTTAGTTACCCTTTCTCGCTTGATTTTCTTTGTCTCTCTAAATTATTCGCTTATTAATTATCTTGACCTCGCTGTTTCTTATTTGTTTGAATTAATTTCCTCGTGATATTCCTTGACTGATGTTGTGATAAGTTTGATTTAATTTGTCATTCTTTATTTTAAATAATTTTTGGTTGTTAACTATTTAAATGATTTAAGTGCTATTTTGTTTAAGTTCTTTCTGATTATTTGATTTTTATACTTTATTTGTGCCAAATCCAAGGAAAAGAAAATTAATCAACTTCATGTCACCGAACATATCCAATACGATTGTGTGAATCCCTTCAGTCATTTATGTTTTACTATTTTGCTAAACTTAATTTAATTTTCCTAAAAAAGGTCAATTTTAAAACTCACACCCCTTTAAGTCAAAACTTTGACATTAGGTCGTCGCATCTTCAAAATCTCGTCCACACCCATTTTTACCAAACTAACCATTTTAATCAAACAAACAATTTAAAAAAAACAAATATTTCAAAAGGTACATGCGGAGTACCACAGATGCATTGGGTGCTAATGCCTTCCCATTGCATAACCAACCCCCGAACTCTCGATCTCTTTCAAAAAACGCATTGTATTTTCATTACTTTTAAGTATTATTTTACATTGCATATTTTAGGGTTTTATTTTACTCTTTTCCCTTTTCCCTTGGAAGTAATAAAGCGCGGTGGCGACTCTTGCTTATTTGCGAGTCAAGTTAATTAATAACTTGATCTCTGATTTTCACCACTACAGAATTGGCGACTCTGCTGGGGAAAGATTGACCTCTTACTGGTCCATCCCTAAGTGAGTTAAGCCTAGTTTGTCTTATCTGTTTTATCATTATTTGATTGTTTGTTTATATGTTATATATTGTGTTTATTTGGGTGTTAATGATATTTACAAAGGATAAGTCCTATACCCGGACTAAGTTACACTTAGGAATAGGACGGGAAATATAGTCATGTTAACTTTGGGGGAGTAATCCCGAAGAAGGAGGCATGAAATCCCCCACTCAGTGGAAGCCCCTTTGAACGTAGTATTTGTTTACCCAGTAACCGGGAAGAAATTATTGCTTTCGACCTGGGAGCTAGAGAAGTTGGGAACTATAGAACCCTTAACCCATCTTAGCCTTTTAGGTGTAGCGCGGAGACTATAACGGAGTAATCCGGAAGTAGTTATCACGCGATGCTACACTCGTACGAGTTTCTCTTAAGAATATTTCTAATTACCGAGTAATCGAGACGTTGGTAATATCCGAAGGAGGATCATAGACTCTGGGAACCTTTAGAACCTTGTTTTACAGGTGTGATTAAACCCTTATTCCATACCTTGTGGGTGGTTCTTACCTTTGACTCCATGCTCGTGACGTTGAACCTTTCAACTTTGTTTGTGATCTTGCTTATGATTGTTTCATAGCCATGCCTTCATGCATCCATGAAACTTTTTTTAACTTGATTTTCAAGGAATTTGGAAGTCTTTCTTTGTAAATATCACAAGTTTTGTCAAGCTCATTAGATCTTGGGCGTTGATGGGGTGAAAATTCTACCCCGTGGATCTCTCTAGGCTTTGAAACCTAGATGGAGAGTTCATTTATTTTTCAATTTAAATACTTGGTCTCCTCCGGAAGAATCTATTCATGGTTTCCCATTGAATATGAACTTTGTTTCCTGGTAGTGTTGTTGCAACACTCTTTTGGAATCTCAACATGACAACAAGTGGCGGACTCTTCATAAGCAGTTTGTGTGTAGCATGGGTATTTTTGGAAAATAAAAGGTGGCGGTCTCTTCATGAGCAGCTTGTGTATTTGATATCTTTGGAAGACAACAAGTGGCGGTCTCTTCATGAGCAACTTGTATGTCATTGATACCTTTTAAAAACAGCAAGCGGCAGTCTCTTCATGAGCAACTTGTGTGTTATTGACACCTTTGAAAAAACAGCAAGCGACAGTCTCTTCATGAGCAACTTGTGTGTTGTTGTTATCTTTGAAAAACAGCAAGCGGCGGTCTCTTCATGAGCAACTTGTGTGTCATTGATACCTTTGAAAAAACAGCAAGCGGCAGTCTCTTCATGATTAACTTGTGTGTTATTGATATCTTTTAAAAAATAACAAGTGGCGGTCTCTTCACGAGAAACTTGTATGTTATTGATACCTTTGAAAAAACAGCAAGCGACAGTCTCTTCATGAGCAACTTGTATGTTATTTATACCTTTGAAAAACAGCAAGCGGCAGTCTCTTTATGAGAAACTTGTGTGTTATTGTTACCTTTGAAAAAACAGCAAGCGACTGTCTCTTCATGAGCAGCTTGTGTGTTATTGACACCTTTGAAAAAACAGCAAGTGGCGGTCTCTTCATTAGCAACTTGTGTGTTATTGTTATCTTTGAAAAACAGCAAGCGGTGGTCTCTTCATGAGCAACTTGTGTGTTATTGATACCTTTGAAAAAATAGCAAGCGGCAGTCTCTTCATGAGAAACTTGTGTGTTATTGATATCTTTGAAAAAACAGCAAGTGGTGGTCTCTTCATGAGCAACTTGTATGTTATTGTTATCTTTGAAAAACAGCAAGCGGCAGTGTGATCGGTGGATCTGGAACTGACTGTTTAACGCTGGTTCGCGAAATGTCGCGGAAGCAAGAGTCGCCACCGTCTTTTATTTTCTCCAACATGGACAGGACAAAAGCACAGAAAAATTACTTAAAGAGATTGCTCTCGGTTCGGGAGGTAGGTTATAGAAAGGGAAGGTGTTAGCACCCTTTCTATCCATGGTTATCCATGGGCTCTTAGATACTTGCTCATTGTGTTTTCAAAAATGGTTTGTTTGCTTTTCAACTGTGGGTTTTAAAAAAGTTTCTTTGAAAATTCCAGTTCGACTCTTGTATCAGTCCTCAAGAGTGTTTGAAAAATTGCTTTCGAAAGCTTTTTGAAAAGGTGTCGGTGTGAAAAGTATTTTTGATTTTTGTTTTGAAATTAGAGCAGGTATCTAGAGTTGTCTACCTACCCTAAGGAATTCGTCTGTGTAGATGTCCTTTAAAGTAGTGCCATCCCACCATTGAGAGGTAGGTAGCACCACCGTTGGAGGTGTTCGGGTCAATTCGAGGTTCGGGACATGGTGATCACCAGAGCAATGGGAAGACACCTTAGAAGCTACCCTCATGCCAGGTTCCCGGATCATGAGGACTTACTAAGACATCCTCTACTCGACGATCACCTTTCGAGGCAAGGCAACAGTGAGGCGTACCCTAGGGGTGGTGTGTGCGATTCGTGTGTCGTTTTCATTTGTATTTGTCTTGTCATGTTATTGGTGTTCTACGCATTGCTTTTATTTGGACATTCATTCTTGCATGCTTTGTTTAACAGTTAAAAAGTTGCGAGGAAAATAAATTCTAAGCTATTACAAATGGCGCGGGTCCACATCGCCAAAATTAACCAGGACCCGATTTGACGGAAAATAAATAAAGTAAAAATGCGAGAAGTAATTACACGGCTTCGGGAGAGGTACATAAATATTTAAGCAAAATAAAAATAATAATGCGAGTTAATAAGAAATTAAGAGCGAAACGAGGGCGTTGGACCCTTTTGCAAAATTAAAATTAATAAGGAATTAGAATTAAAATTAAAAGAAGATGTTTTTGGTATTTTAGTATTTTATGATTTAATATGAAAAAAGAGAATTAATTAAAATTATAATTGAATGCAAACCCTAATTCTAATGGCTTTTAAATTTATTATGAAAATATTAAATTAAAACATAAATTGACCCTAATTTTTGTGTACAAATTTAATTATGAAAATAAATGAAATAAGTAATATTATTATAGAAGGGAAAATTAAAAGAAATAAAAACAATAATTAAACCTAATTCTACATTTTTTAGATTTTTTATGAAAAGAATTAATATTGCAAACCCTAATTTAAACTAAATTTATTTACATGCATTTATTTACAAGAAAATATTAGAATAAAATATTTATTATGTTTTTTATCTTTTATGATTTTTATGAGGTTTTTGTATTTTGTAAAAAATAATTAATTAAATTAAAACAATAAAGAAAATAAAATAACAATTGAAAATAAAATATAATGAAAATGTAGAGAATTGCAAACCAGGGGGGGTTCAGGCCCCAATATGGAGGTATAGATTCAAGAATTCTGGCCCAACAAGCTTCAAATTCGTTGACTTTTCCAGGCACCATGTGGCGTCTTTGACCAGGCCTAGGATACGCTTCCAATCTATGCCCTTGATTTGATCTCCAGGGACACATGGCTGTGGGATGTTGGAAGGCATACGGTGCATCTAGACGTTGGCATTGCATGGGAACACACATGGAAAAATAATATGGACAATATTGAAGACCTGGGGTTCGAACCCAGGTCACTAGCATCACCAAT